CAGACATGTAATAAGTGAAGTGCACGTACAGAGGAATTGTCTCAGACTTTCTTTGTAAAACCCAGGGCGGTACATTTAAAAACAGAAATGCAATATATGAAAGGCAAACAATAAAGCCCAAGGATGATGAAAAAAGTCATTCCCAGACAATTGCAAGAGCTTCCATTAAGCAAGAATACTACTTGTCTATTTTCCTTTTATTTCAGGTGAGAAAAGAAAAATCGAATGAAGGGAATTATAATTGGAAGATCCTCTGTAATCAAATTTCCCGTTCTTCCCTCTGTGGCTCAGAGAGCCTCTGATGCTTCTGAGAAAACGGAGACATCTTTTGTCACAGGCTGGAGGAATAGCAGCTTCTTGTGTGGTGTGGCTTCACTAAAGCCCATTTTCTGTGTACTACAGAGCAAAACACCACAAAGAAAGCGGTCACAGTAATAAATTCACTTCCTTTCAAGCAAACCAGGCACAGCATGTGTGCAAATAGTCCCAGCATAACAGAAGAACAAAAACAAACCAGTAAATAACAAATAACAAACGAACAGACTTCTGTATGCTTCTTTTTAGTTCTCCTTTTGCAGAGTATATGAGTGAACTAAAAATAGGACCCTGTTTCAGCACCAAAGTCTAGCAACAGTGACTATTGAAAAAATTCTGGTGAGGGATTTGGGATGTGAATTTGACAAAACAGATCTTTGCACAAAGACTGCTGCAGAACCTCACAAAGACAAGTCAAGCCATTGACCAGGCTAGATTAATTCACAGTCAAACCAGGGACATATTTTAGTCTAGCATTATTGGGTCTTCTGTATTTTTAATGTGGTAACTGATTTGATTTACACAATCTACACTGGATGCAATATTTATATGCAATGCTAATGCAGTGCTAAATAATTTCCACATGTACTGTATATGAGGGTACAGTCCTTTGTGTTGGACTGAGAAGTGAGAGCAATGTGAGTCAAGCAGCACTGTTCTACTCTTTCTCTGGCTTGGCAAGTGAGACCTGACCTCTCAGGATCAACGTCAACCCCTATGATACAGATCAAAAAACTTGCTCATATCGGATTGAGGGGAACTAAACCATAACAGATTAAATAAAGTGGTCTCCTAGGTTTGTGCTCACACTAAGTATTATTAAAAGGACAAAGCAAAGACAGACTGTCTCAGGCATTATTAGTGCATCTGGTGAGTGTACTATATATTTGGTATCCAAAGCAATGAAATTGAATTATATTTGAAGTCGGGGGTAAGCAACTCCAGTCCTGGTGTGCTGCATTTGTTTCTGGTTTTCATTCAGAACGTAATAGCTTAATTGAACGAATTATGTGGATACAAACTCTAATCAGCTGTGTTTTCCAGGTCTTAATGAGGTGCCAATAGAAAGATGGTCTACCCAGTGTACAGGACAGCACTATTTAGAAAAGTGATCAAATTAATGCACACTCTAGGACAACTTCCTAACACAAAATGAAAGCCTCTGTTATCTTGTGGTGGCCCAAAGTTTTAGGTTGTGTTTGTTAGGAGAACTTAGTGACAGTAGAGATTACGGATCTATACTTCGCTTCATGTCATGTTTCTTAAACAACAACCAGAACTGTGCTGACAAACCAAACGATTCAGATCATATTACTGTTAACAACCATAATAATTAATCTTATTACATTAAAACCACAAAGGATCAGATAAAGACTTTGTTAAGCAATTTTTTGTATTTTTAAGCTGTGTTGGGAATCCAAGCACAGTTTGACTTCTCCAGCTATTATTATTATGTGTATGATGTTCTAATTTCAGAATGTTTTTGATCTATAGATTGGACTGTCACGTTGGTTGCTCTTTGCTCCTTTTTTGAGTTGCTCATTCAACTCTCTATTTAACATTTTGTGGTTGTTCATTTTAAATGGGTGCAGGGTTAGTTCTAAGGTCTACATTCTCTCATTTGTGTGCATTTACAGTATGTTTGTGTTTTTCCAAAAACTGTAGTGGTTGAGGGAAAAACATCACAACAAAGCAACATGATTAAGTACTAATATGAATGGCACCAGATTTTGAAGCTCATTTTAGTAGTCTAAACAATATGGAGAACACTGGAGAAGTACTGTACGGGCACAATGCTCCTACTACTTGTTTATGTTCAGCCAATTACTCACATGTTGCTATTTTAACCTGGAGCAGGATGGGGTCTGAAACACCAACTACATGAACACTAACAACATTCACAAACACTTCCGATATCACTGGTGAGAAAACAAAACATCGGCCATTCTACTTACAATATTTACAATGCACTGTTACAACACTTCCAAGTGTTTGTTTAAAATGCCTGCTAGTTTTGATTGCTGATTGTGTTTGCTGCTAATTATGCCCCATCTTCTTTATCCACATGCCTTGTCTGCCTCTGATGAACCAAGTGATGATGAAGAGGGAGTTGGGATTCTGGTTTTCTATGACTGTCTCTGGTGTCACACTAGCCTATGTCTTTTTGTTTATTTTTTTAATGTTTCCTAATAAAGATGTTCTATAGGGGTTCAAGACTTATGTATAGCGTTATGTGCCAAGAGCACATTCATGTTTCAGCCTAAAACTGGATGATGCTGGAGATACTATAATGTTAGCTAAAGTGGGGAAAAAAAAATAGGAAGCAAAGCAACAAGTCTCCTCCAATGTGTCAGTCACGACATCTCACAACAACTACATCATCGGGGCGAGGTGAATTCTCTCCTGCCAAACTAGACAGAATGCCATGCCAGCTACAAGAATAAATGTGAAATCTGGAGCAAATAAAAATTCAATTTGCGGAAGGATTTGTTTCTTGGAAAAAAGACCGTACAGTTCAGTTCAATTAACCGCGGCTTCTCGCCATCAGCAACGACCAGCAGAGGAAACCGGGAAGAATGTCTTTTAGAAAAGCTTTCAGATATTAATCAGTGTTAAAATACAGGCAGGGTTGCCAGAGCAGCAATGGAGAGTGGCTGTAGGGAGGAGCTGAGAGGTGTAAGCCCAACACAAGGCAATCATTTACTAATACACTGCACCTGCAATTAGACAGCTCTCCCACAGGGCACGCTCCCGCCTTTATGCAATACACTTAGGCCACAAAACAAGAAAAACTTCATTTACTTAATTAAATGCAGACCCCAAATGCAAATCCAATCGGTATAGATTTCCTTCCTTCCTTACCCCTCTTGCTCTGCTACTCTTTATGCTGACGACGACTTTTGACCAAAGTTAATCTTCCATTAAAACCCATTATGGTATTTTTTCTTGAATTCCATTAAACTAGCCACAAGAGTGTTTTTTAATTTAAGTTGAGGAGAGGTGGAAAAAAAAAACATTTAATGCCTAATGTCTTTATTTGTTCACCGCTACAACCTTCTGATTGGGATTTCATAAAATGCTTCCATTAAGCATGTGAAACACTTTGATTGCACTTAATTATGAAAGCCGGGGTACTGCAGTTAGTTAAGTTTGGAAGTGGCTGGAATGTTCGCCTGTCTGGAGGAGCTATGCTGCATCTCGGCAGTGACGTCAAGCAAAGAGGTCTGCTCCGGGGTCATGTGACTCATGCAGTTATCAGTGTCTTCGTTTTTTATTCATGGCTCTGTGACGACCAGCGCTCTATTGTTGCTGTGATTTTCCATCAGAGTACTTTGAACATTTCATCTTTCCTCTGTCCCTCCTTTTTGTTTTTTTTTATTCTCTCTAGCCATGACCTAAATCTTACTCCGCAGCCTGAATGGAAGCTGTTCAATGACAGATAATTTACTGTGTGCACTGGCACAGGGCGCTGATGGACTGGAATAGCTGTGAATGATGCAGTGTCATGCTAAGCCTCATTCAGCAGTAATGCTTTTTTTTTTGTCTGTCCCTCTGTGGCATGGATTGCAATACTTTTGAAAAGACACACATTTCCATAAAACAACAACACAATTTGCTTCAAAAGACTGATGTATTTTTAAAGAAATGCTGAAAAACATGTTTTTTTTTTCTGTTCCATCCAGCTTTGACAACCACGCTTATGAAGCAGGACACCTCGTTTTACCTCATGAAGTCCACGGAAAAACAGCCCATCTCCGCAGCCAATAGGATCTGTTAATGTGTGATTGAGGGACGTAATTATATTTATGACTTCTTGTGCCTAATGTCACATTACTGCTTAACCCACCAAGCGGATGTCTTGGGGCCACTCTTGTGCCCCATCCTACAGTATGTCAGCTCAGTATGTCAGCAGGTCTTCGTTGATCAGGTGTCTACAGTAATGCTTCTTTAGCAGTTCTGCAGCTGTCCATTTTCATGTTGTGACCAAATTAAAATGAAAACTTTCCTTCTGAAAAGTTTTGCTGAATGGTGGCTGGTCTGTGATCTGGCATACAGTGCTGTTGTTGCCCTTGTTTTGACATTCTATACATAAGATGCAATGGAGATACAGTAGCAAGAGTTGAAGCCCCATACAGAAGTATGACCATGTATACCCAAGCTTCTGTACAGTCGCCTCTTGCTCTTCATTGATGTCTTTCTGCTTTTCCATATGTTGTACAGTCTGTTCCAAATTATTGCAGCTTTGTCAGCCCTTGCCTTGATTTCAGCTTCAGTGTTATCATCAGTGACAAGGCTGCCTAAGTAGGTGAAGCTGGGTTTGATTTCAACATCTTGACAATGTATCTTTACATGTGGATGTAGTGAGTAAGGAAAAGAGAACAATTCTGCAGCCTGGGTACAGTATGTGTCAGAGTCTTTATGATTATCTGCTGGGTTCCAGTCTGAACAACACTTCACAGTGCACTTTGCAATTAAAATACATACATCCCATTAAAACAAACCATGCCACAGAAAAAAGGACCAAGAAGACATGATGAATCAGGATACAAAAATAACTCCAAAAATCCAGGTTTTGACCAAAAGAGCTGCTGGGGTGACAGAACATTTCTAAAGCAGTTGAGAATGGATGGCTCTGGAGGGCATGCAGGTCTGCTCGCCCTCCCCCCCACTCTCCCATTACTCACGTTGACAGACTCCCGGCCGCTGTATTTCACTCGGATCCTGGGCTCCTGAACCACGTCCAGATTGGTCCCAATCACAGTCAGCGGAGTGTGACCACTGCACAGAGAATGAGAGGGAGCAGGTAGTGACTGCACTGCATGTCAGGACATTCCAACAGCACAATGTGATTTAGATACTTACTATCAGGCACATGCAAATAGTGCCATACATTGAGTTTTGACTGAAGCATGACATGCTGGACAGGAGGTGAAGGGAGTAGGAGCATTCCTACTCTCTGATATACACACACTGAAGAACCTAGTCGAGAGGCAACTGTGCTACTGTACCTTGAGGGCAGGTGATACCGCAGGTTTTCTAGGCTTCTTTAAATATCAGCACCTGAGGTTCTGGGGGAAGCTACTAAACTGGTGGAATTAAGCTAATATTGATCTGATTCAGGTCTATACAAGCCCAACTAGACTGAACATCACTTGACACAGGAGTAGGAATGGGGATCCCTGATGCGGACTACTAAAAGCTGGGAAGGAGGAGCTGAATTTGCACCCGGGCAGGAATTTAGGTCAATCTTGTGAGTTGTGGTTTACTATCTCTCCCTACCATTAGTTTCTGAAAGCTATTTTATTACATCTGGCTAATAACCCACATCTTAATGTGTCATACTGATTTATTGGTAGGTGTGTAAAAACATTTACAGGCATACTTCGGCTCTGACCTGTTTTTTCCATGTTTTTCTACTGATATTTTGTGAAAAAAGGCTACAAAACCAAACATAAGGGTTATTTTTTATAAAGAGCTGGCTTTTATTTTGCAATTAGGAAAGATGCAGTTTATGTTGCAGTTGCATTAAAAGCTCTGAGCAAATATCTGGGAACCTCGTTCTGTTTATCATGACTTTTAAGCACAATTTGCACAATTTTATTAGTCCATACATTGCATAAATCTACAGTGTTTGAACCACATTATTACAATCAGCCTCAACGCTGATTGTGCCTTTATTTCCCACTAAAAGCTCGTCCTTGGGCTGTGCAGAAGGTGGCCTCCAGCAATCAGTGACAGCGGCTCTGGGATTCTATTACACCACATTGTCCTGACAATTTCCTCCACTTATCTAACAAATCCAATCAGCTGGAGAGGGCTAACACACGGCAGACAGCCCACTACGGGTGGTGCTCACTAGTGCCGCAGAGAGACACAGAGAGGGGGACAGGGGGAGAGGGAGACATGGAAAGAGAGGACATGTGAGAGAGGGGGAGGGAAAGATGAAGATGTGAAGGAAGAGGAAAAGAGGGAAAGGAAGACGAAGACATGGAGGGAGCTGAAGAGAGAGTGAAGGAGAGGAGTGGAGAGAGAAGAAGAGGGAGTGAAGGGGGAGGACAAGAAAGGGAACAGAAGACACAGATTACAGTACGTTCAAAGATGAAAGAGTAAATGGGTGGGAGGAGACTGAGAACAGTGAGAAAGAAAAAGACAGAGAGAGTTGTCCAGCCTATACTTTAAACCCTGTTTCTGTCTTTTTACTGAATTTCCCTGTTCGTTGTCTAGCATTTCAGGCTGAAGTACTTGCCCCTAAGCAAATGCTAACACCACACTCATTGTACACACCGATGATTCAGGACCATGCAACACCTTCAAGGAACTTGACTATAATCGTAGTAGATGATTTCTTCAATTGATAGCTGTTTCGTTTTGTCTTCTTAAAAAAAAGAACACGCAAGCAGTATACCTGCTCACAAAATAAGTTTAATTAATAATCATCATTCCTCTCCTCTGTCTCCTCCTCCCCCTGAGGCGCCTCCACTCCACCAAATTTCATCTGATCACCATCTGTTTCCTCCAACACATGTTCTGGTGCTCAATAAAAAGTCTTAATTATAAAGTTAGTTAACCTTGCCTTTCTGAAGTAGTGGAATTTGCCTGTGAGACACCAATAAATCACAACTGAAGCTACCTTAATGGATGTTTCACATTAACAAACCAGCTAAACCTGATCTGCTGATTGCAGTATTTGCCATGCTGTTTGGACTGTTTACAATACATATTTTTAAAAAATAAATGACAAAATAAGTGTAAACAATGCACATCAAGATTTGTAATCATGGGCAATAATATTAATTAGTGTTGTGTGAATTTACTGGCACAGTTTATTAATTGTAACAGTAAATTGCACAAGCATTTGTTTTTCAAATGCAATATCTGGATTCAAAATACAAAACATACATTTATTGATACAAACTGTGTGCATTTAACCAAAAAAGTGATAATACCCAAAACACTCTGCTTAGATTGTAAATTCTAACCTGTTAAGCAGTCTCATGCAAAAAATCAACATCGACATATTCGTAGAGAAGTCAAAACTTATATGAATTAAACTGACATCAAACCATTTGTTTAAGATAACAGGTGAACCTTGAGATAGATTCTGTGGAATACTGATAATACTCATCCAACAACAGTGGAGAGAGATATAGCTGATGGAGTTCATCGCAGTGATGTCCAATCCATGTTCTGCATGGATTGTCACCCAGCCCTGGGGTGCAGCCTTGGGGACTCAAGGAGAGGTAGAGTCCTGCTGTAGCCAGAAGTGGATCCTGACCTCAATGAATCACTGCTGGGGAGAAACTTGGCTTGCTCCCTGTGTAATAGGCTATGTCTACATACTGGTATATTCAGGCGTGTCGATGAAAGTTCAACCGTATAGACTTACATTACAGTAGGTGATAGAGAAGACTCATGGAGGCTGGCTAGTCACAAGATCTCACTGCAGGCAGCACCTGGAGCAGAATTCTATTTTATGTAGGCCTCTCTATTTAATTTAGGATCCTGAGCTACAGTTGATGTCCTTAGATTCAGACAACAGCAGTAGCAGTGCATGGCTGTCAGCTGGCCAGGTTTTGATTCAGTGGAGTGTAGCCAAGAGAGCAGCTGGGTAGTGCCTTTTAAACTGTGCAATTACAGCTGGTGATTGGTCATGTTGTCATCAAGTGGAATGGGTTTCCATACCCTCCATGTACCTGAGTGGTTGGCCATGTTTTGGAATTTAGAATTTTGGAATTTTATCAATTTAGAATCATAGTCAAGATGTGCTTATCTCTGCCCTCTCTCTGTAGACATCAAAGCACCCATGGGTGGACATCTATCATTGGGACTACTGATGGTGATTTTGGGATGTGCTGCTTATTCAGAAGGCTCATCTTCCCTGTATTTTAGCGCTCTAGAATCCACAGAACTATTCTATAGCTGAGACTATTTGAAAGAGGCCTCATTAAAAATCCACAGCAATACTTAATTCTGTAGTTATTAATAAGCATTTATCATGCTACAATATCCTGACTGAATTTGGACTTCTAAAAACAAATACAGCAGGGTAGTGTGCAATTCTCATGCCAGAAACAGGCATCTGGAGAGCTGAAATGTAAGGTGACTGTTAGCCATAAGTGCTAGTTTGTGCTAATTAAAAGCTGTGCTTGATGGGTGTTGACGAATATTATCAATGAAGATTATCTCAATCTGGTAAACTGGGTGATTGCCAAGGCAATTAAAGAGACAGTTATTTAAGTTTGTGCCTGAACCCAAAGTTGTATCTAAACTTGAAAACTCGATGAAAACAATTTCCCCTCAATACTTCTGCAAAATCAGCCTCATGCTAGACTATCAGTATCCATTCATGCTCGATTCGGAGGTTCAAGATTTCGGGCTTGGAGCTCTCGTAAGGTTGTGTTATCAGTGTCAGTGCTTATCTGAACAAGGCAGGGCTCTGTGTAAAACATGCTGAGATATACGTGTTTCGAGGACTGGATACCTGGCAATGCTCCATTCTGGCTCTATGCGTTGTACAGTGGGGTCTTCAATGTACTCGAACTGCAAGCTCTCTCTGACTTGGGCTCGGTCCACACCCACTGTGATCTGCACTGGGCTCACGCCCGTCAGTGAGGGTGCGGAGTAGCAGACGATCTCTGTCATCGTCCGCCTGCAAGGAGGAAGAGGAGGTGGGGGGTGAAAGACAGTGAAAACCAGCTTCCACAATAGCCTGGTCACAAACACAGCTTGCCAGGCCCTCAAGACCATAGTCTACAGGAAGATCAGATTATTATCATAAAACTGAGAAGATTCACCATGCCTTCACCTAGCATGAAAATCCACAAACAGCACGTGTACAGGACCTATTGCACCCCCATGAAAATGTGTCACTGTGAATTCGACACAGTATTTTGGCACTTTTTATCAGCCATTTGCTCAGGGTTTTAACATCCCTTTGCTGTGCTCGAACACAAGAGACCATCTTGGATGTTCACAAGGCTCATTAAAAATCTAGCAAACTACAGCATTGCAAAAATTAGGTAACAGAACAGAAAAAAAAAACACTTCATAAATTCAAATTGGCAAACGTTCACAAGTTTGGTTTCTGTTTAATTTTTCATACCAAGTCAATGAGTTTGGGAGTCCAGAATAAATAATATGAATAAGTAATGATGTATACTATTACTGCGGTGACAAAAGTAATGTAATGACTGCATGGCAGTGCAACAGTGAGATGTGAATCAAGTTCTGGCTTCGCTGCGCAGAGCTCCACAATGTGTGGTACTAGTGGTGCTTTTCGCCCAGGACAGTGTTCCTTCATGGTAAGGTTGGCAAAGGGCAGAGTACACCGCCCCAGTGCACTCCCCTCACTACATGCTGTCTGCTGTTCAGATGCCCAGCTGGCTGTAGCTTATCTTTCTTCTCTATTTTTAGCCCATCATAGCCAATCTGCATGGTACTCTAACCATCCACATGCCCCGCAAGTGCCCCACCCACCTGCACCTCGTGCAGTGCCCTGGCCAGAGACCCTAATGCAAATGGACAGTGGTAATTAGCTAATGTATCATTAAAATCGTTTTGTCTAATCGACCTCCCAGCATTACAATGAGAATGCGGCAGCTGGTCTTCAAGTAGAAAGAAAAATAAAGAAGGCCAAATTAACATTCTAGCTCAGACTGAAGGCTACCCCCTTGCGTGTTCTGTGAAGTGACAAGGGCATCTGAAGTTTTATTCTTCAGTATTAGAGAATTGATGTAGCAAGTCATCAAAGCCTTATTAAGATATACACTACTTATTGACACCAGAAGGTTGAAGAAAAATCAATGATGTCCTGAAGGGCTGCAGCTTCCTGGCAAGTCCTGCTTATTTAGAATGAAGATGAGAGAGTGAACCAGAAGTGGAGGCCTTTGTTGGAATTATCAATCCGCAACTTGCATGAAAGATGTAACTTGAGCTATTTTACTGGGTCAGAAAAATAATACAAGAATTCTGGCCAATTCAAGTATACTATTCAAGTATCCCTAATGATAACATGGCTAACAGGCCGAGCCATGCTTCAAATACTAAATTAAAGTGAATTTGGTTGTTTATACCAACTTGGACTCCTGTTAGTTTTTTTCCTGGAGTTTGATTGGAGCTCTGGAGCTCTAGGGTGCTTTATTGGCTTCAAGTTAGAACTGTCAATGAATGTGATATTTTAGTTTTGACACTGTATATTAAATCATTCTTATCCTGAAATGAAAACTGGTTTCAACATTTTTTAGTCACAGTAGGAGAGAAGAGCATCCTTTCAGCTCAGCTCAACGTTCTCCATTGTTGTATCAAATGGTGACATTTTCTGAACAAAATGAATTTGTGGGTTTGAACGCTCTGTGGCTGAGCTAGTCTTAACCGAGTCAGTGTTTCACTAAGGCGAGGTCACTGAAAACAGAAATCAGGGAAAGGGCATGAAAAGAGGGCAGCTCACCCATAGAACTCGCAGGTCTGGTTCCCGAAGAGCACAGTCACACTGCTGCCTGCGCCCAGGTTCTCTCCCATGATGGTCACCTTGGTGCCCCCAGACTCCGGCCCTCGGCTTGGCGACACCCCCTGCACCGACGGCATCTGTGAGGAAACAGGGCAGCCAGAATCAGGCTTGATGCCGGTGGGCATCACATTACCTTCACCCAGCCTGGGCACTGAGACAGCCCTGTTTCTTTCTGAAGGTCAACCCTGGAATAATTGTTGTGTTGTTTTTGTGACTTTTCCCAAATTATTACAGCACTCCTCCTGCCTATTTACTTTGCCATGGGTCTCCATAGTGCACATCATGCTGTACTTTGCATCCCTATCCTTTAGTCTCCTAGTCTGATTTTGCTGTGCCATCATACACTTTACTGTGCTTTTACCTGGGTTTGATAATCCTTGTATAAGGGGTATTCTCATTGTTTCAAAAAATCTTTTCTTGTACAAAATGTCAGCAGTTTTGGATTGGAATATGTAATGTCTGGGTCCTCTACATTTAGTTTCTGTCATTTGATTTGTTAAAAGCCTTGAGATTATTCTCGGCAAAGGCTGTTATATAATAATAAAATTATTGGCAATATCATTAAAAGCTTACAAAGACAAAACAATAAATACTTTCAGGATTCACTGCTGTAGGTGTCGCAGTTTTATGATAGTACTCTTTATTCAGTGGTTTGTGTATACCAGCCAAATATTCTTTGTCAGACCTTTCAAAAACCTCCTTAACTTAGCGAGGCTGCCTGGTGTTGGTAGAGGGGACACACATGGTATGTACAGTATGATTCAATAAAGTTAAAAAATAAAATGAAAACACAGAACTATGTATACAGATGAAAATGACAGATGAATGCAGACATTACAGCAGGAATATACACACCTTTCTTGGCAAGAAGGTCAACTGATCTTGCTATTAATTTTGTTTCTAAAGAGTTTTAGAATTTTTCAGTTTTGAATGAGAAGCACGTCCCTCAGAGGACACAGAGAGGTCTGACGATTCTGAATGGCTTAGTGATTAAGGTTTTTGTGCTGTAATGTGCAATCAAGGATTAAAGATTAAACAAAGCCTTAATTATTGTTCATCAGCTGTGTGCAATACAAATAGCATGGTCACCATATGCAATGCATCTACAGAGCATCAACATGCAGCTACTGCAGAAGAGCTGAAGGCAAGGTTAATGCACTTCTTGAAATCCAAAATTAGGCTTGTAAATTCCTGTTAATTGTAGAGTAAAAGCTAATTATTCCTGTATTGTGCTACTGATTACAGTTTCTCCCAGCCTTGGTGTTTGTGTAGAATGTATGATACGAGTTAATCACTGCTGAGAATATACTGGATGTATCCCTTGGGGTGAGCCAACTGCTAAGTGCACATGAGGTATCATGGCTTTTCTTTGAATAGCACAAGTATAGCTGATGACATCACTGCAATCCAATACTAAATCTGTTTAAATAATGCAGGCTTGAAGTGTGGATTAGCCTTCTGCAAATGTTTTTAATTCAGAAGTCGTCAAAACAGTACACTCTACTGCTTCCTTTCTAAGGAGAGATTACAGGAAAATGCGCATCTGTTTTTTTTGTAATTTAATTGTTTCACTGGTGTGCTGTTCAAGACACATCCTAATCAAATGACAAGATTATTCACTATATCAATCACATGGCAACCAAATAAAAGAGGCCCCTATTGTTCCTACAAAGTGATGAATATAAATGGCGATATTAGCTGTAAAAGCCATTTATTGCCATTGTACAGTAAAAAGGAGGACAAAAGAGCTATAGTACTTGAGAATACTTGAGAGGGCAGATGCTGGACTGAACAAGATGAGACTGGGACCAAATGAATATTAATAAAATAAAAATCACAAAAAGTGTAGCAGAGTACTAGCATCTCACATTAAAACTCTGAAGAAAACAATCACAGCTCAGTTTAGGTTTTCACTATAACAGTCTACTAATAACCTATGGTGATAAAGCAGAGAAAAAAAGAACAGTTTACAAGTTTTACATACTCCTAACACCAGGGTTAAATTTCAGGAGATAATGTCAGAATTATGTTCTTTTTACTGTCATATTTCCATTACTCTATTAATGTGTAAGAAATGTATTTAATTTCTAAAACATTTCATTATTTGAATGTGTAGTCTAAAGTGATACACAGAAAACTGCTTCCTGTAAATGCAGGGAAAAGTATAAGAAAGTATGAGCCTGATCATCAGGAACCTCAGTTCAGAGAGGAGCTGTTTCTCCTGCCTAGGGTTTACAGCACTGTAGGTCAGCCTGAGATACATAGTGGGAGAATGTGGTGGGTGAGAGATGCAGGACATACCACAAAGGAGTACAGCTGGGAGGACTTGGTCTTCAGCTCCGGCCTGCACTCGCCAATACACAGCTGGACCGGGCCGGGCTCAGTGTCAGGAGACGTCTGGTTCATCTCGCACACGATCCTGCCAGGGGACACAGACAGTGTGAGGGCTGACCCCAGGAGGCTTTCTCATCATCACAGAGTCAGTTTTCAAACTGAGCCATGGGTAAAAACCGACTGGGACATGGGACAATGGATTTATCTGGCATACACAGAGAAAGGCCTGAGGCAAAAGAACAGCTCAAAAATAATAAATAAACAGTATTTTGGAACTTCCATTCACATAGCCCCTTGAATTCATATAGTAGCTGCCATGACCAGTATTTTTGATGGTCTTATCTGTTGTGGTTTTGCAGTTTCTCTGTGATTGCGTATGTTTTTGTAATTCCATTGCAGAAAACAACAGACCCATTCGTGCCGAGGCACTAATGAGCATTACTGAGTTAGTTCCCTATGGAGCTGGTGTGTGGGGCCTGACTTCCCGTCATTTGTGGGTCAGCAGCATCCTGTGGGTATAGCAACGCAAGAAGTCCCCCTACCCACCCACTGCCCCTCTTCACGGCAAAAGCCAGCTCTCGCAGGGGATCGATAGAAGTCTCCCAATCATCAGGTGGCGAGATCAAATGATCTAATAAAATGAAGGCAGGGATCGATTAGCTCTTGTGGTGAGCAATAAAGTGCGCAAGCACTTAACTTCTGAATCCCCAATGAGCACATTCTCCAACGTTTCTGAGCCTTGACCTCCTCAAGCATGTGTAGTGGGGCCTCATGATGATCTACGATGAGTTTCAATTGTAAAAAAGTGTGATTTGATAAAACAGTCAGTTTAAAATCAGCTTAAGGGCCATCTCCCCCTTTCAGTGTTTACAATGCATGAGCATATAGGGGCATTTTTATTAATCTGACCATGACATACTGTCTGGCTTTACTGGGTGTAACTTTTTCCTGAACAAACTTTTTAGATATAAAATGAATCTGTGTGTAATCAGCGTTAGACCACTGTGCACCTCACAATGTCCTCGTTTTTATGATTTATCACAAACCCATCTTTCATTAACATTGAACAATTTCCATTCCAGGCCATCTTTTATAACAGCTTGTTTGTAGGGTTCTGGGATACCAACTTCAGAAGATATAACCTTCTGTTTTTTTTTTATAGCCTTGTGATAAAGTTTGAGAGAAGATCATGAAAGAGCTGTAAAAGAAATTAGTAGTCTAACATACATAGATTACTCAAAGGTCTCTGTAGATATGCCCTTACTGTACCTAAAAAAGGGTTACATTTCATTAAAATCCCAGAACTGGAGCTATGATCAGTTGTTCGTTTGCAAAAATAAAATAATCAAGAAAAAAGTAAATTGCTTATTTATTTGAGTTTTTTTTATCACTTTAACTAGTTAAGATTGTTAAGAAAACAGATATTAATGCCAAGATGTTAACTTGTGCTTCCCAAGATGGAGATTGATTTCATATTTCTTATGAATTGGGACTTTTTATTTATTCCTTTAAAGTGCAATTTCTAATTTAGTTTAATGAAATGTCCATTTAATTTGTTAACCATGGATATTAAACTCTTCAGGAATGCATATACTCAAAGCTTTATACTGATAGAATGCTACATTGTACCTGACATCATTCTTCATTCTGGTTGCTAGTTAAACACTGGCCCTACCAGGCAGTGCCTAGTAGGACTGGCTGCAAGTTAATGCCATCTTGTTGGATCGTGTCAGCTTGTTATACTGAGCCACAGTAACATGGGTAAACTAATAACATGCTCAGGACAATCTGTCTTGAACAGTTCGGGGAAGATTATACATAACTTTTCAATTAGTATCTGTGATTAATGCCACAATGATAATCTTGTCTCTCTCCAGAAAAAGTTTTTATGTAAGCAGCAGCTCTCACAAACATATACATACAGTACAGGTACAAACAGACACTCCAGTAGGACAGATGGTTGAACAGGAGGCAGAAGAAGTACTGAATCCACACAAAACTCAATTCTACAGTTGCTTGTTCTCTCAGGAGATCCATAAACACTGTGTATTACTATCTCCTACAAGTGGAAACAGCCCAAATATGAGGGCAGGCAGTACTGCCAACCAAATCACCCCCATCCACCAAAAGATCCCCTACTCCCATTTAGTTGCACTTCTGCCGTTCCAAGCCTCTTTTCTAATTTTCCTTTGACGTTTTTTTGCAGCAATATAAATGAATTCCCTCCAACAGAGGCCCATTCGGATTAAACTGTCAGAGCCACGAGCGACTAACAGATTGTCCCCTGCAGCCAGTGCAACGCTGCGCATTTCAATTAGAATGGCCCAGAGAGGGCCTGCAGAGTGGGAGGGGCCAAATGTCTGGCTGTGCTTGGCAACCAAAGGTGTAAAACAGGAAGTGAAATTATGAACCTGGGGAATAAATCCGTATTGTCCCCCTGCTCCAGGTCAAGCTGTACTAAGCTGAATGATTAAGAGTGAAACACTGCAAAGGGAACACACAGTGTCTTTGTAAATCCTGAAGTCTTTTGAACTGAATCAAAAGTTACTGTCATGCAGTTTCATATCAGCTCTGTTATTTTCATTTTTACACAGCTTTTCTTGATAAGGACTCACATTGCAAAGGCTAAGACGAAGTTGGACACAATCTGTGGCATTTCATCCAGCCCAGGAAAATCAAACCCTGAAGTGTCTAAAAACAATTACTCGGGCTATGGCAAACAGAGGAACTCTCCTATTAGAGATATGACAATGTCTCAGAGCCCTGGTGAACATACACTTGAGGACCTGTCATCGTGTTGCTCAATGATGGAGGTACTTGCTGTAGTAAGTAATGCTGTATTAAGAAACATACTGTGCATTGGTCTGCTAACTCAGGGCTTATCTGTGCAGCTGTGCCTGTGCACCGACCTAAGTAAAGACACATTAAAACTGGACACAGCTTGAAACTGATTTATGATGAGGAAATCGACAGCTCCTACATGAAGCCATTGCAGACCAATAAGCTGCTGTGGCTGTGGACAACAATTAAACTTTTACAGTATTTTCAGCATGAACTGAAAGAGAAAAGCAATTCCTCTCCACCCAGCCCACACTGTCGATCTTCCCAATTTTTTAACTGGATCCCTTTCCATATTTTTAATTTCACAAAACTCTGATTTACCTTTACAATGACTAAAGCAAGTAATTATACATGGATTTTCTGTTTTCACTGAACCGAGCTGCACGACCTTCATAAAGGCAAGCTGTTAACTCACATAATTAGCTGCATCACTATTTTTTATGGTGGGTTCTTGTGCTTTACTGCAGTCTCACTGTGTGTTTATTGAACTTTGCCCTGCTTTGAAAACTGCCACCTTACAGAATCATGAAAATGTTTTATGGGTGCAGGGGTGTTTCAACCATGATAACTGCCTATGCCTGGAGGAGTAATTGACTTTGTTGTAGATTATAGCAACAAAACACAAAATAATCAAAAAGCGTTTTACAAGCAACATGTAGCATACAAAGAAATAAGATTCTATTTCCCTAACAATGTAGAAAAACTAAAAAACGGTGACAGATGTTGAGGGATGGGGAGCTCTTCTCTACCTCAGACCCTAATACCCACTCTCACCGCAGGGAAACTGACAAATGTGAGCTAATTAGGCCAACCTGAAAGTTCCAGGCTGGGTCTGATTGTTGACACTACCAACTGGAGATGCAATTTTCTATCTAAATCCACAAGAAAGTGATTATTTATTGAGCAGCTCCTATTAGGTTCACATGTGGGGATGGTTCGCACTGCTGTGAAACAAACTGAAATGATTGAGATGGTTCAAGACTTCCCTCCCACACTTCCACCTCTGCATATTTCCATGAGTTGTAAATATTCATTAAATGACAAACAGCACAGTAATGCTATACGGAGAAGGCTGGGTAGTATATCAGTACAACAGTAATTAACAATTGCTGCCAGCACATGTCATAGAAGGATTCCACTCACTGAGCACGCTATGGGAAAGTGGTACAGGCCTGTCCTGTACCAGCTGAATTCCTTACAGCATCAGTCACACATCCAATGCAGAAAAATCACCTGGAACATTTCAGCACCCCTGGAAAGATTTCTTGCAAAATACTATCTGGACACTAGCCTGTCATCTTAACATCATCAAATGAGTACCCTCTTACCCCCCTTGAAAACCACAGAATTTGCCCAGTTTTAGCAAAGTATAAAAATATTGATATCTCCAAAACATTTCTATATAAATAGTATGGTTCATCTGTATAAGTTACTGAGCATCTGCTGGGTTACATACAATATATAACATGAGCACAGAAGTGCTGTTAATTTTAAGAAGGTAAGCTCGCATTTATATACAGTACCATGTATTGGCATTCTTATAAAAAACTGTTTTTGCTTTATGTTGCCAAATGAACTTCATATGAGCTAAATCACATAGCAGAACCTAGAGCAGAAAAAAACTGAGTTGTCTAATTCAAGTTCTTACTATTATGATCTTTGTATGAATGTCCAGCTGATGCACACCAAGAGGCACAAACATACTGTACATCCATGGACAGAAATGTGACAGACGTGAAACTCAAGCTGAATAACTGAACAACTGTGGCATTTTGTACAGCTTTCTTTGTTAACTCAAGCGGTTGTTCAATTGAAGCTCCGAATGCCTTCTCTTCAGGTTTGTGCATCTGTCATGAGTCGCAGGGGGTTTAAATATAAATGATTGCATGAATTCCTTGCAAAAGGGAAACGTGCTCAAGATGCAGACAGATGTGCCTGCCAGAGCTAGACTGACATCTCACGTGTACACGGTCCCAGAAGCACAGAGTCACCCCTAGCTTTTACCATGGAGGATCACTAGAGGAAACTGGCACCATGTGACAATTGCAGATCCCCTCACCTCTTCTGGGAGTTGAACCTGGTCACTTGCAGGCTCTGAGCATGCATGGATCCACTTCCTAGATTCTGAATAGCTTCTCCTCACCAAAAACCAAGGTGCTCCATCACAGGACAATTCTAATTCACTTAAATGTCAGAGAGGGGTGACATCACTCCTGCCACTTGGCACTGTCACACAGGGTTGCTGAAATCTGCCATCATCCATCCAGTCAGCAAGAGATGGTGCCTTCTTCCATCACTGCTCATACGGAGTCCCTCATTAATCAGCTGTTGTATAGCTTCAGGGATAAAGTTACAAGCCAGAGGACAGGAGTGACTCTGCCGCAGTGCTACACAACTATCACACGAGTTGCACGCTTTAGAAAAGGCTCATTGATCTGAGGATCTCCTTTGAAATATTCCGACAACTCACCATCCACGAAAATGGCAAGGTGATCTTGTTTCACACCTCCACTTCCCCCTGCTTCCATTTTCTCTCCGTGGCTTGCTGAGCATTTATTCACCTGTTTTGCCACCTTCAGCTTGCCTGTGTTTCATTTTCTTTTTATACTGCTAGTACACATTCTAGTATGTCAACACAGTGCTGTGGAGCACTAAACCATAAAGACCATAAGCGTCAATACAAGCCAGACCATTATTATCCTTCTTAGTAATGAGATCTCCTGCTGTTTCTTTGGCATTATTGTGAAATGGAATTCAATTTTTAATGATTAAGAAAAATACTGTATAAAACTGTGTGTGATGCTTGACTGAAAGCATTCACATTGCTCACAGCATGGCCTTAAGGCTCCTTGAATGACATCACACAGCTATACCTCTTTCTCTGGCTATACCTTCTATATAAGATACGTGGAATCTACTTCCTCATCCTAATAATAATAACAATATGGTACACAGTGTCCTGAAAGTCATGTTACTCATGGAGACCATTTAAGTATTTTTATATTTCTTAATTATTAAAAAGTGCCAGAAGTCGATCACCAATTAGTACTTATGCAACTAATACTAAAAAGTAGTATTCTACTTTTCTGGTGTTTCCAGCAAACACACCTCTCTTTAAAATGCAATTAGCTGTCACTGCATCTTTATTTAGTTGTGCAAAACGTAATCTTCACCCTCTGGGTGTAAAATGTTTTCTTTTACCATTATTAATTGTAATTATTAAGATTGTAGTTCCATCTTTTTTTGTAAACTCCATGCATTTCCAATAGTAGAAAACGATTAAACAGGCTGTGGAATTAGCGATCACTGTTACCCGTGAACTGTGCTTGAGATTTTGCGGTGGCAAAACCCTCAGAGGCTGAGATGTGAAGAGAAAAGTAGCTCAGGCCTTGAGTCGTAGTTTGCAGCTTTAAACCTTGTTAACTGGGAAACCGAATTGGCCAAAGTTAAGGTTAAATGGCCATGTAAAAAAATAAACACCAAAAATGCAGAAGACTCCTAATAAGGAAGGTAAAATGGACAGTGTGAGTATTTGAAGTACTGAGCTGTGATGCTTGGTGGCTCTTCAACATTTCCCTTGAGTAAATCACCTCAAATAGAAGGTACTTCTTTACCAAAGGGTTGCGGGAATATGGCACAAGTTACCTGGCCATGTGACTTCCTGTAAGAAATGGCTAAAAAATATGCTTGGATCAATAGGCTACTAACTACCAATTGGGCCAGAGCGCTGAATCGCCATCACTTATTTGCAACCTTTCTTAAGTTCCAAGGACAAAACAGGAACATGATTTGGATATGAATGCACTGATGCCTCTAAAAAACCATGAGACCACAAACGTCATCAACACTGCCCTTGACTAAATGCTCCAGTGATCTGAGGCAATTTACACTAATGGCTGCGCAGTTAAGTCCATGCTACGTTAAGTCCCAGTGGTCTGGAGGTGCCCTGATACTCACTGCTCAGCAATGATGTAGCCATCCTCTTGTGGAGTGCACGGCACCCCAGCCACCTGCACGTTCCCCTTGATCTCCGAGAAGGCCAGCCCCAGGTTCACCCCATGGATCGTCACGCGTGTCCCCCCTTCTGGAGGCCCAGCCACTGGGGTCACCTACATGCAGAAGAAGGACAAGGAGACAGGGGGAGAGACAGCATGAGTTCCAGGGGTCTGCATCACATGGTATCTGGTGCAATGCATTTTAGCTGTAGATCTTGGGTAACTTTGTGTGGAATTAAAATCTTCCACCGCCCATGCTTATACAGTACGTATCGTACTATACTGTGCTGCTTAACAGCTAATTTTGATTTTGAGAAAACATGCTTGTAATACACCACTACAACCAACATTAAAACAAATGAGTAATCTCTATAATAAGAGAATTTGATGACAAAATAGTTGACATTTACTTCATACCCAGGCGAGAGAATAGAGGGATCACAGAGAGCTTTACTATGAATATCCAGATTTCTGAAAGGCTGGAATACTGCTAGGGCTTGGTGTGTACATGCTGTGTATGTATTCATTAAGCTTAGTATAATGCACAGCACAGCCTTTGATTACACAGAGCAGCCCGATTACAAAATCAGTATTTTGTCTAGTGCTTCTGTGACCCACCCTTACTAGTGGTCTCTTGTCTCTGCTCTTGGTGCTACAAACAATAAATCTAACTAGAGGTTATATCACTGGCCACCTTCTAATAAAATACAATATGGCTTCACAGCATGGCCTTGGCTCTAAATAGCATCCTGGATTATAAACTATAAAATTCAGAAGTGGCTCACTCTTGGCAGGTCTCCAGTGTCTTATTTCCTAACTATGCACTGATGAATACACATACTCAGTGTGCAATACAGGCACTGATACACACAATCAATGGGCCATTTCTGGGTATGCATGCAAAAGTAGAATAAAAAATAAAACCAAAGAAGAAGTAAACACACCATTTTTTAGTCTTTTAAGAGTAAATCATTTTTAAGACATTATTTGAAGTCTTAGCCACCAACCTGGAGTTTAGGTTAAAGGTCCATAATGAAAGTAAAATGTTTCATGCTCCCCATGTTTTTCTTTTGTCAAATGGGAGTTCTATATTGTAGCCTAGATTTAGTGGACATTAATTAGTAGATGTGCCACTGAAAAGCCTCTGGGTTAGAATAAATGCACCCTTTTTAATGCTTGAAAATGCAAGATGCAAAAATATACAAAAAAGAAAACATTTACTGTATCTGAGATGGCACAAGACATGGAACAATTCTAGAATCAAACAGCAATTCTTCAAATGGTGGAAATGTTTTGTATTTATACAGTATAATCCATCACACCACATGTTAAGGAACATTGTGGATCCTGGGCTCCAAAATCCCTCTGAAGCCCCAGAGCAGTACAGGCACTCTGGGGATCTCCAGATGAAATAAACCCAGTGATGATGCACCTGGCCTCTTGTTGCGACAGAAGGGGGATTCTTCCAGGACACTGAGCAAGATGTCTTCGAGTTCTGTGTTGTTGTTTCATCCAGGACAATCTATAATCACATTTTATGTAACCTACAGTACCAAAGTGAAGAAAACTGTTCTTCCCCAATCAGAATCTGGCAGATTCTTTACTCTTCACTGTATCTAAAAATGTCAGATGACAGGAAAAGTTAACTGCATCATAACGGGGAATGTTCAACTCCCTACCCCTCTAGACCAAGGTTTCTGCAATAAGATCAACAGTTTATTTTAGTGAGGCACAACAATTCCAGGGAATTATTGAAATCAAAGCACAGTATAGTAGACCCCCTGTTTAAGCCTTCTCCTCATTGACTTTCCATGTAAAAGTGAGTATTCACAAGAAGACAACACCAGAAGGGCTATAATTCCCTATGTTTTGCAACACAGTGATGCCACCATGAAATATGACTTTAGAATCACTGCCCTAGGACCAGTCACATACAGTATGAAGAGGGAAGTGGAAATCTAACAAAACTGAGAGGCAGAAATAGGCCTGATGCAATACTTTGGTTCCATTATAAAGAGAGATATAAAGGAAGTGACAACACCGTCTAGTCTGCGTTTATCACATACCAGGAGGCTAGACCTGGCCAGTACTGGGATTGTAGAGCTCTATGGTAAGCCACATTGTTTCTGTAAGTGGTGTTGGAGAACCAGCAGGAGGCACTCTTCCCACTGGAGTAGAATTTACAAACCAATGCCCCAGGTACTGTGACCTGGGATGCTGTTCTGTGGAAGGTGCTGTCCGGTGGATATGACATCAAACTGAGATCCTGAATACTTTGTCATTAAAGATCCCATGGCACTGTCCAAAACAGCAGGGGAACTAACCAGGCTAAATTCCACTACAAGTTAGTACAATCTGGTCTACCTAAAGGGCTTTCTCACTTTTCCACCTGATCTGATGTGTAGAGGAGCTGCTGGTGAATAATGGCTGATGTCCGTCACCCAGGTGGAGATTGCACTTCAGAGATAAAAGTGGGCCCCCTCCTACTGTATATGTAAAGCACTTTTGATCCTTTGAGATGAAAGTTGTTATATAAATGCAAGGAATTCTTATATCTTAATTCTAAAACTGACCCCTGTAGATTCACCTAACTCTTGGTCAGGTGGACACATCTCATTAAAAAGGAGGCTTCAGTCTCAGGTTTTGGGCAAGTAGATTGAAGCAGTCTTGACAAGAAAGGTACACCCCAGTTTCTGTCCTAAGTGATGCTCAGCAGACCAGAACGCCTAGACTGTTGACTAGGAATAGAGAAAATCCATTTTTCCACAGGCTTCCATTGTCCTTCCGGAACTCTGAATCAGGAATGTAATCCTGTTTGTTAGGAAGGTGGCATGTTTCCGCTTGCATATGTTCAAGCCTGTCTGCTTCACTGTTTCATTTTTCAGTGAGACCTGTGGGATGAGGCTCTAATCCCTCTGCCTACTTCCACATACACCAAAACAGTCCAGGAGCAAGGCTGACAGTTTCAGGAGGTGGTGGATTGTTGGAAACAGAAAAAATAAATAAAAATAACCCTGACCTACATTAAGCACTCAAGAAGCACTCTCTATAAACTAATCGGTAGGAAACCTCAAAGAAATATCCTCCCTGGTGTAACTAATCCATACAGGCTTAAGACTGACACCCAGACTGTGGAGAAGCAAAGCAGCCAAGAATAACAGCCTGGAAATGCCAGCCACTGTTTATTTTATTTAGCTTACATAATGGTGGGAACATTTCTTTTTTCAACATCGCATGTGGCTACTTTCAGTAGTGGCAGCAGTTACACTGCTGAGACATCCAGAAAAAAAGCACAATTTCCCCGAGCTAAAAGACTAAAAACAAAAACCAAATTTCTTTGAATAATTGAAGGAACACAGCAATTACACACTCTTAGAAAGAACTCTCTATGACAGTCGTAGGCAACTGGCTACAAGGTCTTCAGTATTTTGTTTCACTCTAGCTCTTAATTAACTCCGCACCTCACTTAGTATTCACTCCTTGCTTTTCTCATGCCACCTCTCCTCTGAGCACAGATTTAAGATCCAACCAAACCTCATCCCTCCTGCTCCCTTCATCTTGTCTCATTATGTCTATAGGCTGTCATTGTTTCTGGTCCCCTCTCATCCTCACTGCTCTCTCAGGCCTACTTATTCCTATGCAGCCTATAGCCTTAGCCCTGCACTATCACTGACCAGATTCTGGCTTCTCAGGACCCACTTTAGTCTCTATCTTTAGGTTTATGCTGTATAATTAGAACTTCTTAATGATGCATTTCAATGTTTCAGGCTGTGTAGACTGTAATGTAGAGCCATGCATTTTATATAAGTTATTTGGTTATATATTTGGTCACTATAAAAAATATAGTGATTTAAAGATACCTATAAAATCTCATTACCTGTTTATGGTCTGCTGTACAGAACACAAATCACAGAGATCATTTCTACTACATAATAATAAGGCTTCAAAGACTTTTTGTAACGCCACTACTCCATGACTCACAACAGCTTTCCATCTCTGTTCAACAGTGGTCCAGTCTTTTGGCTTCTAGTCCGAGGTGTGGGAGGTCACAGTTGTGCCCGTAACTGTTTTTCCAATCCAGTGTCTGATCTTTACACAAAGGAGGAGACTTATGTAAACATGAATACTTAAAATGTACAATTCAACACTAACCTCCAAACATAACACTTAGTTAGAAGCTCTTATAATTAGCAAAAGTCCAGGACCTGATGTCTTTCTACTGAGTGAACTTAAGTAGATGAGATATGTAACAGACAAACCTCCAACAATCACTCAGGAGTGTTTAATTGATTAGGAAATTCTTAATGTGGGACCAATAAAAAGTGAGACACAAATGAACCATGCAATCATAGACCAATAAATCTAACTTTTATTACATATAAGGTAATTTCTAACAATAGCTATAAGTAAATTAGAAGATCACCTGTATGATACCTTATTTACTTCCTGTTATTGTCCCAGATGGGAAATATGCCTGGCAGGCAGGTAAAAGACAGAATACAATATACAAAAACATTTAACAGAAGATGAAATGAACCCATTAACAAAGAGACATACATGTATGATGAGACAGAAAAAATATATGAAGTAAAATATACTGAACAACCAATTGTCCACATTAAGTTAAAAGCTGTAGGAATAAAAGATAACTTAGTTCTAATGTTTTTAAATCTAGGAAGTGTAAATCAACACCCAGACAGAAGGAGTGCAAATTCACTGTGCAAGGGGTGGTCATGACCGTCAATGATTATATTGGCCTACCATACTATCAGGACATGAGGGAAATGTGCTACATGGATTCTAGCAGATCTGGCTTAATTAACTATTCTAATCAATTTATTAGGTAGACTTGACAATGTTCCACAAAGCAACAGCAATAATTTTCATCCCATTGGACTTCTTCAGAACCAACAGATACTCATGCACATGAGGACGCAACTGGAACATACAGGGAGGTGCAGTTAGAACTAACACCTGGGATGTAGCTCTGTACAGAAGGTGTTGTGGAAGTATGGCCTAAACTACCCAGCTGTGTTGTTAAAGCAGGAAATCTGGTTTCCTTGAAGAAATGACTGGTTGAGAAGAACCTCGAAACAATAAACCACTAAAAATCA